ATAAAAGTGACAATAATGACAACTATTGTTTACGTGCAAGATAAGCAAGATAAGGCCATGCTTGGCGTTTTATCTTTCTTTGTACTGATGTAAAATCAGCTGGGGGATGGACAATGCAAATTAATTGCACCTTCTGTCTTATAAACCCTCCATATTTAACTCATTATTTTGTCAGTGAGATTTTTTTACAAAAACTGCTGCAAAAATGGTTCTCAGAATTACATGTTTAGTAAGCATAATAGTATTTATGCACGGTAAGTATGATTTAGGAATATATTTTTATACTACTTTATTACTGACTGCTGTAGACAACGGTCTGACTTTTATTTTAACAGAGTGCAAAGGTCAAACACTGACTGAGTCTGAGTCAGTCGTCATCAAACCAGGGAACAATCATAAACTGACCTGTACCTTCTCTGGGATTGATGTTGGAGCTGCACATATTTCATGGATAAGACAAGCTGAAGGGAAAGCTCTCGAGTGGATCTCACATATTTCTGCTCCGAGTGGCAGCAGCAAATATTACTCTAAAACTGTTGAAGGACGATTCACCATCTCCAGAGACAACAGTAAAATGCAGGTGTATCTGCACATGACAAATCTGCAGACTGAAGACACTGCCGTTTATTACTGTGCCCGAAAAACACAGTAACACAAGAGGCTTCTGTGCAGTACATAAACTCAATGTGCTTTGGAGAAACCATACACTGTTCATGCCAGACATGATCAAAATCCGTTCAGATGGTAATCTAAAAAAAACTAGCCCATCTCTCATTCTTCAACATCAACGTTAAAGCATGTAGAAATACTCAACCATCTCATCACAGTTCATCCCAAAACATGTTACTCCAACTATGAATAAAGTAAACTCTGTTCATTTTATATTATATGTATATTTTAAGGAACAATTTGTATGTTTTGAGAAAACTGGATTTGGATTAAATAAAAACATATGCAATTAATTGGTAATCATCTATCATAGCCTAGTGAATAAGAAGAAACAAACAATACATTTAAAGGCAGATATGGTTATAGAGGTTAATAAGGGCACAGAAATGCAAATGTACCTTTAGAGGGCACCCTATGCAAACCTACTTCTATTTGTCTTCCTCAAGTCTCCACACTATTCATCTCGATACAAAACTCTCTTTTCATAACATGACAATGGATATTGTGTCTAAACTGGGTTTTATCTTCATGTTTGCTCTCACAGAAT